TTTTCTCAAAAACGTCTTGATACTCCTGATATTGACTTGAAATGCCACTTGAAGTCTTAACGTTTTCAGAAATAGGTGCAGCATAAATAGCAAAAGTTGATCCTTCTTTTGCTGCATGTATAAATGCTTTTGCACCTATCAGTGCGGGTTTTACTATACTAGACTTATAATTTTTTACTTGGTTAGTAGAACTATTAATAACGCTTTGAGAAAAGCCAAGTTAACGCGAATCCCAATCTATTCGAGGATTATATTTTTCTAGCCAGGATAAACCTAAAATAACTGGATTGGACGGGGATTTAATTATGTTAAAAGCTATGTAGCTATCATGACCGTCTATTGTTACTTTTATAAGATGAGTTTCATGAGTGACATCTCCAGAAGACAAGGGACGACCATCTATGACTTCTACATGTACTGGTTTAGGTTTCTGTACAAAGGGTATTTTACGACTTTTAACAAATTGTTCATCTAAAAAACATGCTGAGGCTCCCGAATCTAATAAAGCAGAGGCTTTGTAATTCTTAGGTCCTAAATATAAGTCTATTATAAAACAAGGAGAGGGTTCTGAGGAGAGGATAGGACCTTCATTAGGAATTGTACAAGGTTCCAGCTGCACGGTCCCTATTGTAGCTGGACGGATCCGTTTTCTGACATGTTGTCTTCTTTGACCGTCGTACCCCTCATTTTATAGTTGCGTCGTTTCTTTGCACAATGTTGAGCAGTGTGCTTAGGTTCTCCTCAATATAAACATAATCCTTCTTGACGACGACGAATCTTTTCTTGCTCAGTTAGGGGTTTAAAACGTACCGCGTCAATTTACATGTCTTCTACTTCTGAATGTACGTTTGGCAAAGATATTGATGTTGCCATTGAGTAATAACGTTGATGTTTTCGTGAATGATTCTCGGATCGAACTTCGAAAAGTCGATTATCACATTTTACCACAAAATCGATTGCTTGACTCAAAGTTTGAGGATCAAGTAAGTTGAGCATCAATTTCTTTACTTCGTATTGCAATCCATAAAGAAATTGACTGATGAGTGCAGCATCATCCCACTTGATGTCAATTGCAAGTTGTCAAAATTGTGAAGCATATACTGTTACTGAGCGATTTCTTTGTCGCAGAATTCGGATCTTATTTGTTGCAACACGAGTTGCATCGTGTTCACCATACATAGATCGAAACTCCGCCAAAAAAGCTTCTAAATTGTCCAATATTGGATTTCGTTGTTCAAGAAAAGACGAAAACCACGATAATGCAGAACCAGAAAGTAGAGTGCCAATAAACCTGACTTGTGATCCTGGAGTTAGATAGCTTTGCGGTTGAAGTTCAATTGCCAATTGTACTTGATTGATGAACCCTCGAAACTTTGATCTCGTACCATCAAATTTCTCGGGTAAGGCAATTCTTGGTTCTCTAGTGCTTATAGGGTGTTGTACAATTGGAGAAGGAACGTGATTTGTTGTAGATGTTGAAGCAGCTCCGATCATCTCTATATCTCCACTTTCTGTTATTCTTGTTCTTTCCTGTGTTGGTGAATTGAGTTGATGCATCGCAAGCATTAACTCCCTCATTTGCTCTTGCATTTGTGCCATTGCACTCTTCATTTCAACAAGCTCTGCCATATTAATACTAAGAAGAAAAATTTGTTTGATATTGCTCAAGACAAAAGAAAAGAAAGACTTGATAACAAAGAAGATACTAAGAATTATATCAGTTTAGAAGTAGATAATCCGCAAACTTCTAATACGCTTATGTCTTGTCAAGAGAAAGGGGTAATCCACTCTTACTCAAGAAAAAACAAAGCTCTGATATTGTAAGTGTACTCTTGTCAATCTGTCAAGGACAAAGACTCGATGAGGAAAAATATACACCAAAAGGCTATCTCGATATAATAAGTCAAAATATAAAGAAGTAGGTATATTAAAAGGAAACTGGAATGGCTATTGCCACAAGACAAGAAACTAAAGACTCTTGAACCTGCACTAGAAGCAAGAAAGGAGTTGACAAGAGTGAAGAAGCCTTCACTCTTGTCTCTATATATACTATCTAACTAGGGGCTACGTGGCGACGTTCTATAGGACCTCCAATATGTGTTGACTTTGTAGGACACATGTCTTGACTTACAAGGCAAGTTTTTTTACGTGTGGGCCACATAGTTAGCTTGATCTTCAAGCTAACAACATGTGTGGCACATGGCCAACTTGTTGACCACGTTTCTAATCCAAAAAATCAATTAAAGACACCTTTGAAGTCAAAGCAGCGTCTAGGAAGTTTCTAGGAAGCTACTATATTAAATATTATAGAATTAACTTACTTTTATCTACTTTTACTTACTTCTACCTATTTCTATATGTAATTATTAGCTTACATGATTATGGCCGTGACACTTTGATCTTCATTGTGGATAGATGTTTAGGTATTTCTTTATCAAATAGGCAGTAGATATGTAAAATCAACACATTATTAAAAAGTTGATGTAATCCACCTAGATGTGGATGATGCTACTAGTTATTAAGTTAAAAACCTCGATTGTTAGGTTATATAGGCTATTGATTGTTAACGTTATATAATATTTTTTATCTATTTTGTATTGACTATTTATATTTCTTGTCAAAACTATCCTTTAATATTATACTACGTCCCCAGCATTACTTATGAACTTGTCTGAGACCAAATTGAGAGTCATCTATGTAAGTATCTTTATGCCTATATAGTTGCTCAAGTTGAGCTCCACCATCCATAGATAGAAAATGCATGTTTTTTAATATAAAATGTGTGGGATTTTCATTAGGATTTTTTGCAAAGCAATTTTACTTTTATTTATAAATTGAAAGAATCTATGCTTAAGATTCTTTTTGAGTTAGATATCCTCCTTAATCTTTGATTTCAAATGCTTTACTCACATATGTATTGATTTGGTAAAAAGTCACCTTCCAAGATACGACTACACATTTTTGTAAGAAGTCCATTTTGAACTTGATCTTGGTTTCATCTAGTTGTACATCTATTATCCTTGTATTAAGCAAAAAGCTTATGCTACTTCAGATTAAATCTTGGAAGAATTTTTTACTTAGCATGGCATGAGTTGAATTTTTGGTTGCAAATTTATCCATGTATGTAGTTGTCACGGTCAGCTCTAGCTCCACACAATCATCTTTGCGCATTCTTTTTACCTCCCTTTCTGTCTTTAAGCTGGTAGGCGCCACCAAAGCATGGACTAACCTAATCTTCAGTATTTTTGTGTAGAGGGCCATGGCCAGTCTTGATTGTGTAGGGTCATATTGCGTCATTTATAGAACCAATCAGTATTGACACTGGTAAAAATCCTAGTAAAAACTCTATTTTATAACGTTGCTCCTATCTCTAGTTACAAGTACCATAAGAGACCGAAATAAGTTAATAGATTCTCTACAATAACTGAGTAAATACTTGGTTGTGAACAAAATATGAGCATTGTCTCTGGTTACAAGTACATTAAGAGACAGAAAGGAGTGAATAGATTCCAACTCTCCATATTGATTGAGCAAACACTTGGTTGTGAACAAAATGTGAGCATTGCTGCTACTCTTGGAATCATCTCGCATTACCTTGTCGAGCTCTACTGAGCGTCATCCAGTTCTCCATCCCAAGTCTAGCACTTTCGTTTAAGAGCCTTTGGCCTCCGTCTCTCTTCCTCAACCCGAATTCATTGGCAGCCATTCGGCCTAGGGAAACTTTGGTTCTCGTTTTGAGCAGGAGGTTGGAATTGACGATATGGTAGATGGTCCCCACCTTGTGTCAGCCTTGTGTGGCTAAAGATGGCCGATTGATTGGTACAATGGCAGCTTTTTCACATGCCTCACAATGCTAGAATCCATGGCACATTCTACGATCAAATCTGGTACAAACAAAGTAGGAGAAAAAATAACTACGCAGAAGTTTGCAAGCCTTTCCTGGGGGACCACCCTATATTGCTAGAGGCTCAGCATGACTTGATTGAATATCTAAGTCTTGCAACCAAAATTTGACATCTGTCTTGACTGTGTTGCACATATCCGTGTAAGATCTCCCAGCTACTCAAAATCCTCTTTTAAACCTAAAGGTAGTTTTATTGAAAAAATATCGTCCACTTTATCATATCCATGAAGCATAAAAAAAAATAAAAAAATAAAAAAAACCATCGATATGTTCATATATATCGAGAATCAAATCAATCTTTAATATTCACAAATAAAATTCTCATTGCAATACTAATAAGTAGAATTTGTTTATCCAGTTTATTTTGCAGATAATTTCGAATAGTAAAGAAAAATATGATTTGTATGCTTTTTTTCATGTATTTTAGTTTTATAAGATAAAGTCATGAGAACATTTAAGCTTTCTGAAATTAATATTTTGCAGTCTATTTAAAATATTTATTCCTGGTATTTTGATTACATTATTACTGTATTTATTAAATATGTTACTATATTAAGAACTAATTTTAAATCGTACAACTTCGTAACCGACATCCGAGTGGAACTTCAACAAAAGAACAGCATTCGCACAGTGGTGCCTATCGTAACAATGATCAGAATGGCGGTGATTAGTGTAACGGTGATTATCACGGAGATCATTAGTACAACTGCGATTAGTTCAACAGTTGTCACCAACACAATAATTAGTTAGCAAATGATTAGCATTACAGTAATTTTTTTTTGAAAAGAAAAGTTATTAGAATATATCTGATTAGCACAACAGTGATTAGGGCAAGTTGATTGCCACTAATTGGCGAAGCTGCAGCAGTAATCAAGAGTGAATAGCAACATGACAAAGGGGTCCACAGGAGCAATGGGAAAAGCAAGGATAGAATGGAGGTAGCACCACCACTAGCTGTAGCTCCCCTTCCTTGCTAGTAGCATGCGACAAACTGCTCAAAAGCACGGAGCTAGACGGTGGCCTCGGGAATCGATTCCTGGCTTACAACTGCGAGATGCGCCACAAACGCCATCATCTAGTTGCCAGCTAGTCAAGTCCGGTTCTGTCCACCCACGTATGCAGCCACAGCGTTGCGGCAGCTCTCCGCCTTGTAACCGATATGCCTCAAAAGGAAGTGGCTTGGTAGAGCCGCCCACGACGATGGAGCCCTTGCTTGTTGCTTCAAGCCGATCGGGCGCGAGCTGGGGGAACAGACTCCGGGAATAGACTGGCTCAGTGAGCTGTGGCGTCGACGTGGGAGCTGTTGTCAGATTCGAGGTAATTTGATTCTGACTAGTCAGGGGGAGGGGCTATGCTGGACTCCGGATTGCTCGTGTCCAGTGTTGGTGTCAGAGTCTGGACTGGAGAGTCTAGTCCATCCTTGACAATATGATTCGCCGTTATACGAAAATTTCGGCATCGTAACGCAGGTTTGTCAAATACAAACCTGTCCGGATGTTGAATCTTTCCGAGTTTGGCACTCCCTCTCTTGCCATTTTAAAGAGAGAGATTGTACTGCCTGGTGTCCCTCCAGATCTTTCATCAATTCGGGGAAATGTTCTCCTTCTAAAAACAAACAATCCCCAAATCGGAGATCTGCATCGTAGGCATTTGAAAGGAGTGTTCTCAATGTAACATTTTGACAGTTACATTCTTCCCTTAAAAAGCCATTTTGCAGTACAATCTCCCCTCTGTTGTTAACATAAAAATTGCAACTCTTAAAGAATGAAATTAAATCTAGCTTTGGAGACTTTTTCAGTAATGGAGAAATATTTAGTGGATTAACCCCGTTTCGTCATGTTATCAGGAATGTGACACGTTGCAGATGTGACTCACTTTTGAGAAATGGGCGAATCCAAAAGAAAAGAATCCAGTTCCCAAATGTGTCATGTTGGTGTTCCCTATGATGGAGGTTGGAGTGTGCAATGAAATCTGACACATGTAGCAGCTTTGGTCGACAAAGCCCCAAATTCTCTTGAAGGAATGGGCGGAAAGGACTCTCTCGTTTCGGATGAGGAAGGATAGGCCGTAAGCGACGATGCGATATTATTGGAGGGTAGATGCATCCGCTGGACTGGAACAAGAGAAAAAAAGTTATTTTAATAAAAAAATGCTTCTGGAATCTCGAGTGCCGTTGGTCAATGAGCCCATCTCCCTAGAATGAAACGTGCAAAGAATAGTAGCTGATATCGATCAGTCAAACCTGGTGTCATCTAGGTATGGTCTCGTCGAGGTGTTCTCTAGCATCTTGAACTGGGAACAGGGAGAAAACCTAGATCGAACAAGCCAAGATCCTGAGCTTTCCGGAAACAACCAGTAGCTTCATTCATAGTCTCGGTTACTCCCCTCTCACTGCATTTCTTTGTGCGTTCATTTGAGAGCCAAGTATTAATTTTTGGACCGGTACTTTTGATTGTTTAGGTCTGCCAATTTTACGCTGATGGCCAGCTTTACCCGTTCATCGATCTCAAAGATAGGATAACCCACAGATGCCGGGTGCTTGCGTGGTGTCCACAACAGTTGGTTGTCATTGTACCTCTCAGAGAATAATACTCTTCCAACGTATGTTGGAAAGACCGCTTCGCTAGTACAGTAAGTTCTGTCGAACAGCAGTAACTAGATTTGCCAAGGGTGGAGTAGTGTACCGATGAGATCGTGAATCTCGATTGTTCAGATATGCTCATAAAACCTGGAGCGTGAGGGGAGCACCGTTGGCAGAGTACTTGTTGTGTGGGCCCGTCTTGTGTCAGCTCCGTACTTGATAGAATACACTACAATACTGACCGGCGCTTTCTAAGACACCTTATACTGAATTTCTGACACTGAGGAATGGAGAACTTTTGAGATCGAATTGCAGGCCCACTGAATCATTCTCTGATGCACACACTCTGCTCCGCTCTAATTTAATTTACTTTATAAATACAGTATTCGGAAGTCAATCTTTGGTGCCAAAATTGATACCTAGATTTGCAAACGATCTCATGATCGAGATGTTGACCCTGCCTATTAATGTATTCATTCCCCGGCAGCCCGACTTGGCAAGGAGGTTGGGGTTACCCACTATAATTAAAGCTACCATTATTAGGATCGCAAACGATGCTTCCGCCACGTATCATATTATTCTAATATACAATTATCGAATCCTGGTGCAAAAGAAGTTTTCGTTGCATACCATATTCAGCCAATATTCAAGGGAGAGCATCGATAGATGCGAAGTCCCGTAATGTTGCGAATGAACCAAATCCCCTTGTAGCAGTGTTTCAGTTCCACAAATCACCGCAGTGATCACTAAGACTATGAACCAATCACTTACTGGTATAATTAACTATCCTCAGATGTATAACTGTTTTATAATGGTCAACACTGCGTGCGTTGACGTCCGTGACGGGGGAACATTCTTCGTCTCCCCAAGCTAGCTGCCCGAGAAAAGTGGGGCCCTGACGTAGAACCTAGCCTTCGTTTCTTCGAAGATTTGATTTTTGAGGGCAGGGGCAGCTTCCGCTGTGAACTGAGAGGAGCTGGAACTTGGAAGGAGCCTGTCGATAAGCACTTGGCTATGGCGGAAGCGGTTAAATAGAGTGGCTCACATATGCCTTCCATGGTTCTTGCATTTCAGCAGCACGTCTGGCCGGCCGGAGCTTTTGCCTCAGCGGTAGATGTGTTTCCAGTCGCTTGCTTGTGGTTTTATCTTTTGCTTGTGATTTGGATAGATTTGGTCTGGTATCTATGTCGTTTGCCCAGTTACTGGAGCTGGGGCCATCAGCAACGGGCATCTGGAGCATCTTGGGACTGTTAGCTCCGCAATTTCATCATGTTGTCCTTCAGTGAATGTTCTGTGCCCGCGGTGAGAGCGTTGTGACCTCAATGATGCATGTCTTGGGGTTAGGTCACAGTGCGTGGGATTTTTGGTAGGTTCATGTATCCGTTTGATAATCCGCGCGGTCCAGTACATGGGGTTGAATTTTTTGAAGTTCGCTACCACTCAGTTCGGAGACCTCGGCTCTGACGGATGCTTTCAGTTGTACGCTCTCTTAGTTGGGCAGTTTGATGATAGGTAGGCCCAGTTGCGTAGCACGGTGATTTGGTCGTGTGTCTGCTTCCTTCACTAGCTTTAATCGAGAGTTGATACTGTCTCTGCAGACTGGAAGCAAGATTATCTAGCATTGTCAGGGGATTTTACACGATCTTGTACCCTTCAGTTTTCTTCGGCGTAGTTGAAACGAGGGAGAACTGACATGAGGGCATAATGACGAAAGGAAGTGCGACGAACCAATGACTGGGCTTTGAAAGCCAGTCCATGCTGGCTTTCCAGGTTTGTTAGTGTAGTAGACAATGTCTGATTCAGCTAGTAACTTTCGGTCGAAGCCTACGCCACGCTCCTCAGGTTGCCACCGGAAGTTAAAGCTGTTGTCCTCATATCTGGACTGTAGAAACACCTGAAGTGACTGAAGTTAGTCCGGTTTAGGTATGAGAATGATTGGAGCACCTCTCCAGATGTTCCAGATGTAATGAAACCGGTGCAAGCTTCAAGCTCTTGAGGTGTTTCTACAGGCTACATATGATAGATGGCTACCTGGATATACCAGTCTGGCTCGTTGCATTTCGATGTTTTCAACACATTCGATAGCGCATCCTCGAATTGCTAAGGTGGCTTGATCTAATGTGCTGGTACATTTCTCATTGTTGAACCAACCATTAAAGCGTTTTCAGGTAGGATTTGGCAATATACAAGGTTTCTCATGCATTTGAATGCCGAGTTATGTGTTACAGGTCATGCTCTCCTTGACATAACCATGGACTTGTATCATGACTCTATTTATCTCACCACGTGCCACACATGCATCGTGGAGTTTGTATATGACTGCGGCCTACATAGAGCACGATTTGCAGATTACCTTAAATCTAGACCGACTAGATTCTTTGACCGCGGTTAGTCACCTTGAATTTAATCCTTTTTCATACTAAGTACCTGGAGTACTGACAACCATTTCTGCGGGAAAATTGTGCTGATTTCATTTGAGAGTGGCTCAAATGACGCGGGATACTCACAGTACTCAATGACAGGTTGCTACTCAATGTTCCTGCACAGCTCTTGTTTTGTTGATATGAGCGTGAGCTAGTATCATTCCGAATCAGGATGTGGTGATAAATCATCTATGGATCACGAGACGACCTTCAAAGCTGAAGCTCAAAGGGCGATCGATCACGGACTCCATCAACCACCAGTACGATTGTTGAGTTGTCTTCAAAATTTATCTTTGCTCTGATGTAACTTTTCATTTTTACTGGATTAATGGAGACCCGTCAACATAGTTTAAGAGATCATAAATGACGCTAACCAGGGAATTGTCTTGTGATGTAGCGTGTTTGCAGATTACTTCTGCCTCTGTCCAGCTCATCTGGTGCATTGAGTGCCTCATTCCTGCGGAACCACATTATCACAATCACACGTGTGTTTCGTACAAATGTGCTCATTCTACCACGCACATCCACCGGGCTGGTATTTCAACGTTGTCAATCTATTCCTTTGAGCTGATTTTCGTTTTATCGCTTATCATCTTCTGCTCATTTTGTTTACTAGACTGCGAGCTATGCCTGATCCCCCTCAGTTTTTCAAGCAACGCTACTGGCATTTGCACAAAATCACTGTACTCGGACATTGATGCACTGCAAAGATGGCTTTCCCTTTAGATAACGGATACTGTCATCCGTGGCATGTAAACCTGCACAGTTGGACCTTCTGGAGTAAGTGCCTCCATCTTAGGGCTTGTGAGCAGCAACCGAATCGGTATGGACAGATGGTGTTTATCGCTAGGGACGATGCGTTGGGGATGAACGTACATGGGAGATGGTTATCGAATCCCAAGAATTGGGGCAAGTTTCAAATTCTTTTGTTTACCTATTTACCTTGTTAGCCCATCATACACAGGTTCACAGGTAACGAAACCAATTGAGAATACTCTGTTGCAGAACAATAAAATACAGTTGGCGTGCAATAAAAAAAGAAGAAGAAACTACAATCATAAATTGTCGTGAAGATTATAACTCAAAATCCTCTTTGCAATAAACTATCACACACACATAATGGCGGTTTAAATTCCGCTTATAGAGTCCCAACTGCCAGTAACACAATCTCATTAAAGGTTCACTCTTGCAATGACAAAAAAGAAAAAAAAGAAAAAAGGACAATAGAATAGGCAAAATCTTCATCGTTAATTGATTTCAAATTGCCATGTATCATTAGAAACAAGTTTAGACACCATATTGCCTAAGTGGGAAACGATGTTCTTATTGAAAAACCTTGATGTCTTCTAAAAACTTCCCATCTAAGCCAGCTGTAAATGTAGCCAAAAACACAAATACAAGTAATGGTTGTTTTTAAGAAAAATAAAATATTGTATATCATTGTAGACATTTATCTTTAATTCTAAAGTTAAATATAAAATGATAGATTAAATATATGTTTTATGATATTTTTTAATATAATAATATAAAACTAAAAATTAGAAATAGAACCTTTATAATACATTATACTATATTATTCACATCATAATACTTATTACTATATCTTATAATAAAGATTATAAGTTTCTTAAGCAAAATCACATTATTTAGATATAATTTGAGTTTTATTATTATTAATATACATCGAAAAGTAATTAATTTTATATTATCTAATTTTACTTATTTTAAGCTTAATAAATTTTTAAAACTAAACAATCATGCCATTATAAAAGAAAATTTGAAAAAACATAAAGTACTTTAATCATTTAATTTTGATCAAATATAATATATTAAATACTTGAAATAATTAAAATTTAAAAATATTCATAATTTATTTACTCATAAATTATATAACATGTATTTATCTATGAATATTGAATTTTAATTTAATAATTTTAATTTATTTACTTTTACTAACTCAAAAAACAAATACATCTTTTAATAAAATCTTTATAATATTTTAAAATCAAATCTTCAAAATAAATTTTTATTAAAAGACTAGATTTTTAATAAAATCTTCATGATATTTTAAAATCAAATTTAAGAAAAATAAAGTTAATAAAAGTTTTAGGAATTTATTGTATGTTTTTTTAATTTTATAAAAAATATGATAAATATAAATAATTTGTTCTAGTTAGATTGATTTCTCAAAGACATGAATCACAAACAATGAAAACCTACAAGTGTCTAGCAAGTTGGAAACATGTCAAAGGTCTTATAGAACATTAATATGTAGCTCCTAATTAGATAGTATATATGGAGATAAGAGTGAAGCCTTCTGCACTCTTATCAATACTTTTCTTGTTTTTATTCTTATTTTAAGACTCTCTAGTCTTTTTGTCTTTGATAATAGCTATTCTAATTTCAATATTATACTATCTTTGAATGAATATCTACTTTTCTTTTAGTGAAACAAGAGTGTATTAATGTTTTAATACCTTGTGATTTATGTCTTTAATACTTTGATAGGAGTGCTATTTTTTTATTCTTATTTTGTTTTAGAAGTAAGTAAATCATTCAACTTCTTTTGTTGTATTTTAATGGTTATAGACTATCTATCTTCAAACTATTTTTTTTTGTTTTCACATTGGTTCTTTTTTAAAAGAGAGGGGACTACTTGTTTTTGTAGAAATTTTCATTTGATATTAGAGGTTGTAGATTTATTTATTTATTTATTTATTTTGACTTTTAAATTTGTTATAGTCATGTATTATAAAAATAGCAAAAAAATATAGATACTATGCTTGGCAAAAATGAAATTAGATTTGTAACTATTACAAATATTTATTAGCTTATCAATACTATTAGAGTAGAAATCTTATGTATTATCAATGTCAACCATAGAAATACTATTTCTATGTCTATGAAAGAAGTCAATAATGAAGTTTAATGTCTAATTCAAAAAATTGAGTAGTTGAGAAAAGTAAGTAGATCAATCTTACAATTGAATCTAAGAAGTCTTACTATTACGAATATGAGAGATGCAAGGATTAATATGCCCAAATAATTTAATAGAGCAAGATCAAAATTTGAAGGATTTCTATAAAAAATTAAATTTTGTTTAAAGTTGTATCTTTTCTAATATTCTAATAGATTTATTTAAGTTAGATTCATATGTATTATTCTATTTGGAAGCATTTGTTTTTGATTTGCATCTTTGATAGAAAAGAATTTACAAATCTTCTATAATCTTAATTTATTCTTGAAAGAGGTTGACAACAATATTTGGAGAATAATAATTGAAAAAAGATAATAAAGACTAAATTCCTATTTTTATATCAAAGATCATGTTTAACTACCATATATATTGCTAAATTCCAAAAAATTGCTTACAACATGGATTGGAATGATAAATTTTTTATTAATAAATTTTAATATGGATTAAAAAATAATCTCAATAATTTTTTGTTGATAATATGAAGAGCATATTTATTAGAACAATTTATTATTCAAGCCATAACATGTAATAATCAACATTTTGAAAGACACCAAGAACAAAGATTTGGATAGAAAGAAAGAAATCAAGTTAAGATGGCAACTTCTAAGCTTTCAAAAACTTATTTATAAAGGTCAAAAATTATGTAAATTGATACAATATGTTTTAAACCTCTTAGTGAGCAAAAGAATATTTAATTTCATCAAAAAAGATTATGCTTATATCATAGAGAATCTAAAAACATTGCTTAATATTGTCCAAAGAAGTAATGCAATGACAAAGTAAAGAGCATGGTTTCGAAAGATGATAATGTGTTAGAAAACAAGTTTCTCAAGCAATAATAAGGACTATATAGCTAAAATCTTATACAATACCTAATAAGGGTCTTGTTTTCTCTTGAGGTCCTTCACCTTGTTTTACAATAGATATTTATTTAGGACCAAAAAATTACAAAGTCTTTGTCTTATTATATTTAAGAGCATCAACTTATTTTTATAGATAAAGACTTTGTTAAAAAATAAGAAATATCTTAAGTGAAGAAAATTAAGTCTATATATGTAAAAGTCATATATGATTATTTTTTATTTTTTGAAGATATTATCTATGAATTTATTTATTTAGATATAATAATGAATAGATATAATAGCTTAATAAAATTTAACATGATTAAATCTATTTTTATTCCAATTATTTTAGATTTATTATGGCTAGAGAAGTATAATTCTTAAATAGACTAGATTTCTTGTAACCTTGTTTTTTCTTATAGTATAAGCCAAGCCTTTGTTATCCAAGTAAAAAATCATAAGTCAAATACAACCAAATTTTCTTTAGTAGATGTAAGATGTAAGAGCTTCTATGCATGCTACAAAAAAAAATGTCACCTTTTGCAATTTATGCCACATTTATTTTTGATGGTAGAAAGACTTCAAAGAAATTTTGAAGCTAGTATCAAGAGTATCAAAATATGTTTGAGAAAAAGAATAGAAATAATCTTCTAGAGTATTATCTCTATAATTATTCAATTGATCTTTAAAAAGAAGTTTAATTACCATTTGGTCTAATCTATAGCTTATCATAAAATAAGTTGAAAGAGTATATTCATAGGAACCAAGCTAAGAACTTCATACACTATCCAAAATCTCTAGTAGGAATTCCTATCTTGTTTATGGAGGAAAAAAAATAAATTATTGCGGATGTGTGTGAATTATTGATGAATCAATAAGATTACCATTAAGAATATATATCATCTATGTTTGATATTAAGACTTATTGATTAATTTAACCAAAAAAAAATCTGTATAAAAATAAATCTAAGATGAACATACAACCTAATATACATCAAGAAAGAGATGAATAGAAGATTATGTTTTGAACTAGGTATGAACATTTCAAATATAATATCATGTTTTTGAGACTTACAAATGCACCAACTACTTCTCAACATCGTATGAATGATTTTCTTTGAAAATTTCTTAATAATCTTATCTTTTGTTATCTATACAATATTATAATCTATTTTAAGAATATAGTAGAATATAAATTTCATGTTTATTATATATTACAAAAAATTAGGGATACAAAAATGTGTGCTAAGATAAAAGAATAAATATTTTATACTATTCAAGTTGATTTTTTATAATACATCATTTCAAATGATGATTTTATGACCAATCTTTAAAAAATTAAAACTATTATTTATTGAAAGATTCCAAAAATAATAAAAGATGTATAATATTCTAATTAATATTAAATCTTTATCAATTTTTTTTTTTAAGTTGCAACTCTACTTACACATTTGACTTATAAAGTCAATCTTAAGTGGAATAAAGAACCTAAAGAAGTATTTGAAGCTTTTAAGATTATTTTTATTTTTACAATAATATTATATTGTGTTGATTTTTCCAAGGCATTTTTTATAGAAAAAAATCTATCAAAATTTGCCATTGGTATGCTATTATAAAAATTTAGAATAAACAACAAAGTTTATCTTATAGATTTTCATTTAAGATTTTTATCAAGTTTAGCAGTCAAGATCAATTATAAGATCTTTGAAAAAAAAACTTTTTACAATTAAAGATTCATTTTTAGAATATTTCCATTATCTAGAAGGCACTTGTGGTTTAGTGGTTTATAAAGATCATATCAACTTCAAGTATTTAATGTCAATATATGTTTTGAATCATTACTAAATTTTTTTAAAGTATGCTTTTGTTAAGATTTAAATTCAAAATTACTTAAAAATTAAGAAAATAACAAGTTTTGTCAAATTCTTATTCAAAATGTTCTTATCTTACATCAAAAGAAAAAAAATGAAAATTTTAATCAATAAAAAATAATTTTCTTGAAGCCAAAGCAATTTCATCTTTTAGCAAATAAATCAATATTCACTGTTAATTTAATTTTATTAAGCAAATTAAATTTAATATATCATCTAATATTTTTGTTTATGGCAAATAATTGATCTATCTAAATCTTATGATATTTCCAAGTTTGAATTTATAAATAATATACTCTATTTTGAGAGATGCTTATATATTTCAAAAAATAAAATATAATTACATATTTTTTAAATTCGTCATTTTTCCTAATTATAAGATATTTTGGATATAATAAAATATTTAAGCTAATATCTAAATATTTTTTATGGCTTCAATTTAGAAAGAAATGAGAGACTTTATACAATAATGTGACATTTGTTTTAGACCATAAATCCCTTGTCATCTATGTTATGGATT